CAGCATCTTAGCTGTGGAGGGCAGTGTCACTGGCCCTCATATGTGGGATCTGAACCGGGGCCCTCTGGCATCCCAAGCCAGCTCTTAACCATCGTGCCACATGGCCGGCCCTCGAATAATTTTTAAATTGTTCTTAGGGACAGGATTGGCTTTTCCAGGGGTTAGCACTTTTGAAACAGAAGGTACCCAAAGAGCTTGGCATGTGGCTCACTAGCCGCAGTTTGCCAACCCCTGCTCTATTGATAAGATAACAGGACAGAGAGGCAGCCTAGCAGAGTGATGAGAGCATGGCTTCTGTGAGATTGAATCCTGGCTCTACCACTCACTGGCTACGTGATGTTAGGCACGTTAGGTGCTTAACCTCTCTGTGCCTCAATTTCCTCATCTGTAAAATGGGATAACAGTATCCACCTCTTAGAGCTGTGGGGATTAAAAGAGGATTAATATGTGTAAAGCACTCAGAATAGTACCTGGCATAAAGAAAGTGCTGTATAAATGTCAGCTACTACTAATTTTATTATTAGTGTTAATATTAGTGGTCAGTCTCTTAAGGGCTCCACTATCAAGATGATGAACTCTGTTTGCAGTCCTCCTGTCACTCAGTTCATTACTCAGATTCCCAGGACAGAATCTGATTTGCTAGTTAGCGTCTTGGGCCCACCCCTTGATCATGATTGACAGTCCTACCAAAACTGTATCTGACAGGGGCCCAGTCCAACCTCAGAAATGGAGGCTGTTAATTTTGTTAGTGGGTTCTGGATATGGCAGACCAGGTGGCAGGATTCCAGGGTCCCTGCCCTGACTGACCTCTGCCTCCCTTCAGGTCTCAGACTCTCCACCAGGGGAGGAAGACATGGAGGGCTCAGCAGCTGGGGACCTGGCAGGCGCCGGGTCTGGCGGTGGCTCTGGCTGGGGCTCAGGGGTCGGTGAGGAAGCAGAGGAAGATGAGGATGAGAACATGGTGTACTACTTCCTGGAGGAGAGCACGGGCTACATGGAACCAGCCCTGCGTTGCTTAAGCCTGCTGCATACACTGGTGGCCTTTCTCTGCATCATTGGCTACAACTGCCTCAAGGTGGGCCATGACCATGGTTCTGGGCAGGAGCTTGTGCATTGGGGGTGGGGGTGCTGGGGCACTGTCTGAGAGGACCTGGGGCTGGCGCTGGGGGATCTCATACAGTGGTTGGGACAGAGGGGGCCTGGAGTTGGAGTAAAGGCTGGAGGTTTGGGTACAGGATTGAGGATGATATTCAAACTGGGAAGTGAAGTGGGTCATAGCTGAGGAGCCGGGTCCTGTGACTATGTTAATTTCTGGATCAAGAGGCAAAATTTGTCATTGGGAATAGTATATTTCCTGAATGATGGTCAGTTGGTGAATTAAGATCTGTGGGGGTCTATGGGGTCTCAAACATATGAGTAACATGGGTACTAAGGTGGGGATGTGGATTCTGACATCAACTATGCCTGAGGTTTGTGGTGCCTATAGGGATGTTATGAGAGTTACAATTTGGGTTCCACAAGATCTGACTGTTTTAGCAAGTCCTGATACTTTAGGATTGGATGAACAGAGTTCTTTTAGCTTAGAACTTTTGCATATGCTGTTCCCTCTGCCTGGAATGCTTTTCCCCACTTCTACCTCCTTTCACCTGTCTCTGTTTTATTCTTCCTTTAGCTCTGAGTTCAGACCTCCCTCACTTGGGAAGCCCCAGACTGCATCAGGCACCACTTCTAGGCTGTTCCATTTTTCTCCCTTCCCAGCCCTGACCCCTCTGCCCGTGCTTCTCCATCACTACCCTAATTACTCTGGGAAGGCTCCTCTGATGTAGGGGCTCACACAGGCTCTAGTGAGATCTCCCAGCTCCTGCTGAAGCTGTGCTCTCATGAGGTGCCTGAGACCCACCCCTTTGCCTCCCTGCAAAATCTAGGTGCCCCTGGTGATCTTTAAGCGGGAGAAGGAGCTGGCCCGGAAGCTGGAGTTTGACGGCCTCTACATCACCGAGCAGCCTGAGGACGATGATGTGAAGGGGCAGTGGGACAGGCTGGTGCTTAACACGCCGTAAGGGCCCAACCCCCACCTCAGGGTGGGTGCGGGGAGCAGAGCTGGGTTTCCACTCCAGTCTCAGCTTGGGCCTCAAAAGACCAGGGTTCCAGCCACTGTCGGCCCTGACTCATTCTCCCCAAGCCTTGGTCTTCTTCTCTGTAACATAGACACATTTCTGTGCATTAAAGTATCCCTGGGGGTGCTGGTGACACGGAGATTCCTGGGCCCTGTCCTTGGAGATTCTGGTTCAGGGTAGAGACCAGGAACCTGCATTTTAAACCCTGCCCCCATGTGAGATTCTCACCCAGGTGCCATGAATGAGAAATGTGAAGTCATTTGCTTTTTTTTAAACTGAGCCCAGACAGGGAATGAGGGGGTGTGAGGGCAATGTGGTGGGACTGGGGACCCCGGAAGTGCACTCCCAGCCCACTCCATTTTCCACCCAGATCAAGCCCCATTTCACTTGTCCATACAAAGGGACAGCATCATTAGAGGGTAGACATTTCTAGAATAAGAACACTAGGTCAGGTTTGAACCCTGGGCTCATCAGACCCTAGCTGGGAATTCTTGGTCCAGTCACTTAGCCTCTCTGTGCCTCAGTTGCCTCACTGTAAAGTGAGGATAAATAATAGCACCAACCTCACAAGGATCTTGTAACCGTGAATGAGTTAATGTAGTTCCTGGGGCACAGTAAGTCCAAGATAAAGGTGGGGAATTACTTTATTATGGGGTCCTGCCTTAGTAGAAGTGTTGTGAGGAGGGAGAGAAGCCACACCAAGCACATCCTCCGCTCTCACTGTCACCATCAAAGGCACATTTAACTTACACACATTCAAGTACACACGCTTAACCGAAAGAGAGAAACATCTGTTTAAAATAGTGTCTGTCCAAGGCATTTGACTTCTAAATACCGTTTCCCATGAAAAGGAACCAAGCTCCTTGGAAAAGTGGCAGATTTCAGGGCTGGGGTGGGGCAGTGCAAGATGAGCCTGGATTGTCCTGTTGTGTCAGAAAGCAAGAATGTGCCCGATGAAAAATGGTGCTGTGCTGAAAGGACCCAGCCGCCAGCTAGATGGACGCCCACTGGACAAATCAGGGATAATGTGAGCATCAATAAGAACAGAAAGTGCCATGAATTGAAACACATCCAATAGGTCTAAATCCACGGAGTCATGATAAATCTCCACTTCCCCCACCCCAACTCCCCCAAAAATTCATTGGCCACCTTTGTAGGGTGCTAGGGCATCAACTCGTCAATTGGAAACTGGTAAATAAAGGGCCAGAATCATCAAATAAAATTAAAACAGTGTGAGAAAGCACACCACTCCCCCGGAGCTGGAGCAGGGCCAGGCTGCTGACTCAGAGTCCTCCTCACCCTTCACACGCAGGAGCCTTCCCACCTGTGTGCAGGTCTGTGTCTTTTTACACATCCGGGCTCTGAATACAAGCCACCTGCCTCACCTCGGCTCCATCAAAGATGGCAGTGGGGGTGATGGTTGGCTTGGGGCAAACTTCACCAGGCTTGGGGTCTTTAGAGCCGGCCCTCAAGTGAGTGTGTGGGGTCCCATGTAAGAAAAGCATTGGAATTTCGAACAACCCTGGCCAGACTGGTGCCTCCTATTCCCCCCTGCCCTGACATCTTGTGGTCTCTCTCTCTTGGCAGGTCTTTCCCCAGCAACTACTGGGACAAGTTTGTCAAACGGAAGGTGAGAGGACATGGATGGGGCGATGACAGGGCCTCCTGGGCTGGGTCCCTTCCTGCCACCAGGCTATTCCAGCCCTGTCAAGGACTTGCTTTGTGTGTGACCTCGGGCAAGGAGCACCTCAGTTTACCCACCTGGAAATGGGCATGATAATCACCCCTCCCTCTCTGTAATGAGATGATACATGTAACGAGCATAGTGCCTGGCGCAAAGTAAGTACTCAGTAAATATTAGCTTTGAGAGAGGAAGTGAGGCATACTCTTTTAAGCACACAGACTCTGGAGCCAGATTTCCTGCTTTTCTACTCCTAGCTGTGTCATCCTTCTGTGCCTCAGTTTCCCTCATATTCAAAGTGAGGTAATAATAGGGCCAACTCCACAGGGTTGTAAAGATTATATAACCTACTATGTGAGCAGTATCTGGCACATAGGAAAACATTAGATAAGTGTTGGCTGTTACCATCATTTATTCACTCAACAAATGTTTACTGAGCACCTACTGTGTGCCAAGACCTGTTTTAGGAACCTGAAACATAGCTGTAAACACAACAGTGATAATGACCCTTGAGTTGGAAAGACAGGTGGTGAACACATCAATAGTGTTCAAGTGGTGATCAGTGCTGTAGAAGTGATAAGTGTGTTGGCCAAGAGAGGCTGCTTTTTCAAGTAAGGTGGTTGGGAAAGGGCATGCTAATTAAAGAGAAGGTGAGGGAGTGAGCCAAGTGGAAATCTGGGGGAAGAATGTCTGGGGGAACAGCCAGTACAAAGGCCCTGAGGCAGGAATGTGCCTGGTGTATTTGAGGAGCTGTGAGGTGGTCGGTGTCTGGAACAGAGTGAGTGAAGGTGTGAGTGGGAGGAGATAAGTTTCTTAGATGACAGGGGACCCAATTGTATAGGATCCTTGCCTACCTACCTAATAAGAAATTATCCCAATTAATTTGATTAATGAGTCAACTGGACCTTTATCACTTTTGGACCCTCCTCCTGACGATCTTAACAAAACTTTGGCCCTTCTCTCCAGAAAAATGCACCCCCAATTTATCCCACAAAGTTCATAATGTCCCCAGAGCCCCTCATGCTGGCCATGGCTGTCCCCCACTCCAGCCGTGTCTTCACAGCCCCACGCTGTCCTGTACAGGTTCTGGACAAGCATGGGGATATCTATGGGCGGGAGCGGATCGCTGAACTGCTGGGCATGGATCTGGCCACGCTGGAGATCACAGCCCACAATGAGCGCAAGCCTGAACCACCGCCAGGGTTGCTTACTTGGTGAGCTGGGAAGATCCTGCACAGGCCTGGGGCAGGCAGGGGTGTTGCCAAGGTCTGACCCTCAGGCATCTGACCATCCCTCTTTCCCCACCCACACAGGATCATGTCCATTGATGTCAAGTACCAGATTTGGAAGTTCGGGGTCATCTTTACAGACAATGTGAGGAGGGTCCTCTAGGTGGGGAGGGATCTGCAGGAAAATGGCCCTAGGAGCACTGGGAGCTCCACCCCCCCCCAGTTACCCCTGACCAGGGACTGAGTCCTGAGCCCCTGTGCACCTCTGATCCTAGGGTACCCTCTGGCACTCCTGAGGCTCCTTGTTGCCCAGAGCGCTCTTGAATTCCCAGACTACATCCTTCTGCAGAGGGCTCCCCACCTCTCCCCAGGCTGGCTTATCCCCCAGGGTGCTCCCAATCCCCTCCAAGTCCTCCCCAGCCAGAGATGGCACCCCAATCTCCAGAGTACTCGAACCTCTCGAATGTTCCCGGACCCCCTGGGTGTCCTGTTTCCCAGAGTGCTCCCCCCAAACCCCTCCATGCTCCCTGACCCCCAACCCTGTGTCCCACAGTCTTTCCTGTACCTGGGCTGGTACATGGTGATGTCCCTCCTGGGACACTACAACAACTTCTTCTTTGCTGCCCACCTCCTGGACATCGCCATGGGGGTCAAGACGCTGCGCACCATCCTGTCCTCCGTCACCCACAATGGGAAACAGGTGGGCGAGGACCAGACGGAAGACCATGACCCTGGCAGGGATGAGCTTGGCAGTCTGAGTAGGGGTGGAGGAGTGAGGGCTGGGCAGCAGGGGTGAGGAGGGGCAAGGCTGGGCCACGGAGCCAGGGTGGGTGTGGGTAGTTAGACTCCGGGGGAAGAGCCACATGGGCTGAACCCAGCTAAGGGCCAGGAAGGCAGGGCATGGGGAAGGAGGAAGCCAAGCTGTGGAGCTGACCCACCCTTGCCTGCCCCCAGCTGATGATGACTGTGGGCCTCCTGGCAGTGGTGGTCTACCTGTACACCGTGGTGGCCTTCAACTTCTTCCGCAAGTTCTACAACAAGAGCGAGGATGAGGATGAGCCTGACATGAAGTGCGATGACATGATGACAGTGAGCCCCTCCCCCAGCACTCTTGGGCCAGTGACTGACCTTCCCTGACCCTTAGTTTTCCCATCTATGAAGGTGGTTAATAATAGTACCTGCCTAGTAGACTTACTGTGAGGGTTCAGTGAGCTGATACTTGTGAGGTGCTTTGAACAGTACCAGGCACATAATCAGTGCTCAGTAAATATCAGCTTCTGGTGTACTGTTGGGTTGTCGGAAAAGTCATGATGCATTTTTGCAACGAAAAACATAGAAAAAATAGCTCATGACTTTTCCGACAACACAATATTATCTGAGCTTTTAAAGCTATTATTATTGGGAAGGTGCTCAGGCAAAATGCCCCTGCCATGCAGTTTGGGACAGGTTACTCAACCTCCCTGTGCTCTGATGTCCCCCGCCCCTGTCAAATAGGTGTATAGTAACAGCACCTGCTACCTAAAATTGCTTTTAGGACTCAGAGGTGCTCCCTGACCATCTAAGACTTAAAAGTCTGAGAATAGTGCCTGGTGTGTGTTAAGGATTACATAGATGTTAGCTACTGTGATAATCTGTAATTAAAAGTTTCCCCAAAGTACCAGCATGCTACACAAGTTTACATTTTCTTTTCTAATGGTGGTCATAACCCAAATTGAGTTTAGCCTACCAGAGGCATGGACCACAGTTAAAATAATCATCTCAGGCTTTTATCTGAGAAGATGTCCTGTAATCTGGCACTGTGATCTCAGGTCACAGTCCATTTGTGATATTTGAGACCCTGATATTTGAGACCCCACCAGACCTGGTCTTGCCACTCATTGCCTTGTTCCCATCATAGCCACTGGCCCTAGCTCTTACCCAAGATAACTGAGTTCTCTCATTTCATGGGGACACAGAGCAAGTGTAAAGTCTCTCCGAAGTGCCAGGCTGACTATGTCCCCCACGCTGCTCAGAATTCTTGTGGCTCCCCAGTGCCATGTGGATAAAACCGAATCCCCTCACCATTGCTTACAAAGCCAAGGAGAAGCTAGCCTTGCCTGAGTCTTACCACAGTCTTTCTTGCTTTTTGCTCTCCGGCTGCCTGGTCCTCTTTCACTTCCCCTAAGGCCATGTGTTTCCTCCCACCTTGGGCCCTTTGCTTCTGACATTCTCTCTGCCTCCCACCCTGGCCCTACGGGCACACACACCCCTTCACTTGGCACCTCACCTTTCAACTTAAATGCTGCCTCCTACAGGAAGCCCTCTGTGACCATTGGCTGGGCCTCATCTCTCTCCCTGTTCTTTCTCACAGGAGCTCTGTTTTGTAGCCTCACTGAACCTCTTTCAGTTCCTCACAGGAGCAAAATATATTCTTTCCTCCCCAGTGGTGGGGTAGCACATGTGGTTTTCTCTGTCTGGAACACTCTCTCCTGCCTAACACCTTCAAGTTCCAGCTCATGCATGTCCTCTCTGCCAGGAAGCCTTGCCTGATCATCCAGGCTGCGTCAGGCTTTCAAAGCTTCAGAACTGCCTGTGCTTCCCCCATCTCACCCCTGATCACACTGTTCCTTCCTCATCCCAGCCCTGACCTTTCTGCCTGTGCTCTCCCTATCACAGGTCTGATCATTTCTGGGGTGTCACTATCTGATGCCATGTTTGTGAACTCTGCAAGGGCAGGGCCCAGGGCTGTCTCAGTCATTGCTGTGTCTCCGGCCCTCCAGCCCAGGGCCCTATAAGTATACATGGTGAATGTCAAATGATCGTATGTATGACCAATATGCTTCTCACCCTCCACCCACAGTGTTACCTGTTTCACATGTACGTGGGTGTCCGAGCTGGTGGGGGCATTGGGGACGAGATTGAGGACCCAGCAGGTGATGAATATGAGCTGTACCGGGTGGTGTTTGACATCACCTTCTTCTTCTTTGTCATCGTCATCCTGCTGGCCATCATCCAGGGTCAGTGCTGGTTGGGGTTGTGGGAGTGTCAGTGCCCCGAGACAGACTAGCTCCTTTAAGAGTACAAGCCCAGGATCCAGTGCGCCTGGATCCATATCCCAGCGCTCCCTGCAGTAAGACTTTGGGCAAGTCACCTCTCTGGGCCTCAGTTTCTCCATCTGTAAAATGGGGATATTAATGATACTCACCTCATAGAGTTGTGAGAATTAAGTCAATTCATAGGTGTTGAGTGTCTGGCTCATATTAAGTGCTCATTGAACACTAGGTATTAGTATTTTTAGGAAACAAGATTGAGATTAGGGAGATGGGGGATGGGAGGCTGAGAGGTAGGTTGCAGAACTGGGTCAGAGATTGGGCACTGACTTGTGCCCTGCCACTTCAGGTCTGATCATTGATGCTTTTGGTGAACTCCGAGACCAACAAGAGCAAGTAAAGGAAGATATGGAGGTACGTCAAGTCTGGGGGTGACCTAGAGGGATTATGAGACCCTGGGGGTTAAATGAGCCTCAACTCTGACGTCTCCCACAGACCAAGTGCTTCATCTGCGGCATTGGCAGCGATTACTTTGATACCACACCGCACGGGTTTGAGACCCACACGCTAGAGGAGCACAACCTGGCCAATTACATGTGAGTGTGGCCCTACTGGCCAATCAGGAGATTTGGGGCGTGGCCACCGACAGCCAGGGGCAGGATACTGGGCCTTGGCCAGTTAGGGAAGGGGGTATGGCTCCATGTGTGGATTCTCAGCCAGCCAATCAGGAGAAGGTAAGAGTGGTTCTGACTTGTATACCACTGCCCTCCCATCCCCAGGTTTTTCCTGATGTACCTGATAAACAAGGATGAGACAGAACATACGGGTCAGGTAAGGGGGTATTAATGGGAGGACAATGGGCAGGGACATGGAGAATTTTAATATAAAGTCAATCAGCAGGTGGCAGTAAAAAGCTCATGCCAATATCAAGCATTTGAAGATGTGACCAACACTTCTATTCCCCATCCCCCAACTCTAGGAGTCTTATGTCTGGAAGATGTACCAAGAGAGATGCTGGGACTTCTTCCCGGCTGGCGATTGTTTCCGCAAGCAGTACGAGGACCAGCTTAGCTGAGTCACCCCCAGCTGGCCCTTCACCCCCATCACAAGTGCCTTATTCTCACAGCAAGCCCCTTAGCCCCCAGACCCCTCCCCACAAGGCGCCAGGGGAAGGGTGACCATGTACTGGAGAAATAAAATCTGTGCTACACCCCTGACATCAGTGTGTTGTATTGTTGACATTTGGGGGGTGGTTGGGCATCCAGGAATTCTGCCTTCTTCCCAACCCCCAAAAAACAAGATGACATCAGAGGCTGAAGTCATGTTTATTGGG